AGGGCATCAAGGTCAATTGAAATACATTCAGAAAATGCACTTTCTCTAATGTATTCGTAACAAAAGTACAACACAGGAATACCGACGTTTTCCTGCCATATTTCTCTGAGTTTAGTCTGCAAGTTTCTTATCTAAACAAAAACTTATGAAACATAAATATACTATAATATATTCTGGGATGTCACAAACGAAAAAGGATTGCAGGGATTAAACAACTACTGCTTGAAAACGAACAGAGCACCGCTCTAAAAGTCAACCGTACTCGTAAATTTTTCATTAAGTAAAACGATTTTGCGGGTCATTAGTTTTCGCAAAATGAAACATTGCAACATATAAGGTAAAAACAAAATAAGAAATTCACCATGGTTCTTTACAACATACTTAATAAATTGATGAATTTTATCCAATGCTGAACTTTAAGACGCTACTGTAATCTGATCGAACATAAACAAGAAACTTCTACAATCTCCAACATTTCGATTAAACAATAACGGTTATCCTCAGGATAACAGACAAAGACAAAAAGGCTACACAAAGTGAAAAATACAAGCACACAGGCACGTCCAACGAGACCGCAGTTTAGCTGCCATGTCTTCGATATATCGTATGAACTGTTGCAGTCATTACGCAGTCAAACGTCATTCGCTGCGACGTGCATTGACATTTTGATCAACAGCCTGATTTTATCCGTCTTAAATTACATAATCTAGTTGAATACGCGAAAATATGTGATTTGATTCGGAGAAGAAAGCTGTGATGCTTTGGTTTCAAAATGATTCATATACAAAGTTATGGTAACATAACACTAACTGGAGAGCCAATCAGAATGAGGTGCTGCTGCTTGCAAAGAGCAATAACAATTGACTGATTTTTCTTTGAGTTTAATAAGGATTATCAATGTCTACCCGACATCTCGATGTCCCACAGTGTCAACGTCACTAATGTTTCGATTCCCAATCTTGTATGCCTGTGCGATTTGTTACAATACTGCTTCCATATCTCTTTTTTTGGCTCACGGTCCCATTTGAATTGAGGTCTGTCAACTGGGAGTCTACAGCCACCAGGATATAAATCAGTCATTGCTGAAGTCCTTCGCTCATTCATCATTCAGGGGATATATTCCACCTCAAGATGCAGTACAAACGGTGCCGAAAATTATTTCTGTTTTTGCTTTTCACCTCTTTCGATCGTGGCAAATAGAATTTTATTACAGTCCACACTTCAGGCATGTTCCATAAAACGCCCATTTGCCGAATGGGGTTCCAGTCGATGGTTCTGCGAGGCTTGTTCTGCTAGGAGTTTTCCTGGGTGAGTTAGAGAACAACCATCTTTCATCTGGTGATTTTCCCTCTGCACTGTAGAGAGGTGCCTTATCTCGCGAGGGTCTGCAAAAACCGCTATCAAATTTCATAGAAACGTTCTCAGGTTAATATTTACTGACATGCTAAACGCAGGATCTGTGCAAGTAGTATATTTCATACTGTTCATTATATCTCTGTGTACAACTGAAGCATTTTACTCTAATGAATACTGCTGTTATTCAGTTTAGACGTTGGAGGTAGTAAATGCTTCTTAGTCATATTCAATCAGACTATAACTGCATCTAGAGCTACTTTTGCATTAGAAGCACTTCATAATCTCGCCAAAGAACTTAACATCTCTTTTGAACATTCTGAACAAATATTCCCCTTCATTAAAAGGTAGAAAAAGAAGAAAATTTTTCCACCATGTATTCTAAAGAGATTCACTTGAACCGCAACACCACCCTCACACATTTCTTAGGAGCTTGTAACTCAAATGTTCTTTAACTACACAGAACTGCCTTAACAGCATAAGGAGTTCTCTCAATCATGGCTACAAAACTTTAGTCAGCCAACCGTTTAGAAATTTACGACAAGTTTTGAGGGTTACTGAAGCGGCTCAGGAATCGAAGGTCCACAATTTCGAACTCCGGTCCTTTTCCGTCATTCGCGATAAGTATATCGATATGTGATAGTGATGTTCGTCAATCGGTATTAAAATCAATCTACACAGTGCCAGCTTACTTAGAATAGCTCTAATTCGAATCTTTGCTCGTTTCCATTTGCAGCATTCCATATCTGCTGCAAAGCATTATATAAATTTCCATGCTACTAGTTCGATCGTCTAATTCAAGTCCTCAAATGTGGCTCTCGCCTTCAGGTTCAAGAATAGGATCAGTTCGCTCCTTTCACCACCAACCCTACACTTGAAATGACGCTTCTAATGTTTAGAAAATAAATCTTTACATCAGTCATGTGCTGTCTCAATTATGAACAAACGTATTGAAAAAGAATATGCAGAATCAAAATTAGTTTTCGAAATCATGGAATTCTTTCATGGTCAGCTCCTAGTACATTTTGACCATGTAGCAGTGGTTGCAAAAATCTCTATTCATCACTAGTGTGACGATCAGTCAAGAAAAGAATCTTATCGTATCACACGAAGCGGAGTAATCACTAGCAAGCACCGGAACTTACAACGGCACTTAGAGCAATGGGGCGATTGTCAATAGCTATGAATCTTTTTTAATTGGTCCAAATATGAGAATCAATTCTTCTCTCCAGTTTATTACTGCCAAAAGTTGTTCATTACGAGTCACTGTACTACATATTCTTGTTCCGGTCACATAGCATAGCTCCATAGCGTCCTTCTGAATATCGCCCCATCGGTAATTTCACGTTTCCCTACTTTTCATCTCCGGCACTGCTATTGTTTGGATCACATTGCCCATGCAGTTCCTATGTCTATTTTCCACACGTATGAATACATATCTTATTTGTTCAGCTTTTCTGCTTTTGACAAAACTCCAGGACACTCCGCATGATGTGCTCCAAATATATCTTTCTGAGTTTTCCCCCTTTTTTTCTGAAGCTGTACTGAGGAACCATCTCTCATTAGGAACTCAGGTGCGAACGCGGATTTTCGCCTAATCCGAATCATCATTCCTCAATGAATCAGGAAAGTACTAAACAAAAAAGCTTTCTAATGTTGACCAATGTTAGTGTGCATAATGATATCATAAACACAGACCAAAATAAACCACAAGTCAAAAGTCGAAAGTCATAAAAAAAATCTTTAAGTCGATCTTAGGAATTCTGGAAATTTCGAAACTTACCCGTTCTTCAGTAAGCCACAAGGCAAACAGCCTGAAGCAAGGGCATTCAAACGGATACTTCTGTGGCAGAACGAACACCAAAGAAATCGAAGGTAGAAAAGATACCGAAACACTGGATGCATCTAAAGAAAACAATCCAGATGGAAAACGCGTTTGATAAAACCAAACACTGCACCATTTTAATCCCAGCAACAGGCTACAATAAAATGATTGAAACGATCGGTTAACGGTTTATCGACAATAATTAGGAAGACTGCCAACAGAAATAGATTAGAACGAGGAAGAGCAATGTGACTCTTCGACGAAAGAAACAAGGTTTCTTTTAATCATAAAATACAAACTAAATATTCTTCATTATCTTCTCACGGAAAACGAATTTCCTAGTTCCGCAAAAAGTAATGAAGAGACTAAGTGACAACGTTTCCATTTAATTCAAGATGATTATCCTTTTTGCATGAATGCCTCTGTCGTTCAAAACTTGCTACGTGAAAACTAGCTTAGTGCTCGAAAAATGACATAACCTGGAGCACTCTTCCAACAAAACCAATGAGCTCAAGTAGAGGGCCACGAGTACATTCACGAAGTAGCATACGGGATGAAACTGTCAGATAGAGGATTTACAGCTCTTCTCATAACTAAATGTATCGTACCATTACTTACTGACTGGAACGCAGTACTTATTATAAGTCGCAATCAAAAACATTGTCAGGAACGCAATGCACTGTACCGTCGCACTGCCGACGAAACGAAAAATAGTTTGATATTGATAATCTCTGAAGGTCGCCCGTCTCTCATTTTTTTGAGGCAGAAAAGTTCGCGAAATAACAGAAAGCGAGAGACTACATGCAATGATGTCATCAAATATGACCTTTATCATGGCAAAAACTAAATCACTTTTCGCTAAGGGTATCGAAATGCAGATCATCACAGAACTGTAAGCAATATGAAAGAAGGGTGCCCAAAATTGCG